CATGGGGGATTGCTATTGATTTACAAGTGATGCTTTTGAGCCAAGCATTGAAGAAAAAAAACAGCTGCTATGATCTGGAAGTGGAAAGAAAGCAAATTATGATCTGGAAGAGGAGCCCATTATATTTTGTCGCAGATCAAAATAGGGGGCCAGTTTCTTTCTTTGAGATGACATGCAAGGTGGATTTCTATTCAGTTTCCTCCTTGTAGACGGTTCCACACAAATCAAATTTGATCTTTCACCCTTTAGTGTCTGTTGATTAACTAGTAGAATATATTAGGACCGTGAATAAGTTCTCACTGATTTTTCATAAAAAGTAATGTTTTATTTACAAAAATTAGTAAGAAACATGTCATTGAAAGTATTGTTAATCGCTAGCCACTACTTTTACTTTTTTTTCTGGCAGTATTTGAATTCCATGTAGAAAAAACAACACGTCTTTTGAGGCTAACTATGAGTTGACCCATTTTCTGGAATCTTCATAAGAATGAAAGTGATACTCGGCCAGGCCATGTGCCATTGATCAGAACAAGTGATAACCGAACGGGACAATATCTGGTGAATATGGCGTGTGAAATAGGACTTCCCATGTAAGTGTTTCCAAGCAGGTTTTCCCCTATTTTGCATGTGGCCTAGCAATGTCATATTGCAAAATCACTTTGTCATATCTCTGTTTGTATACCAGCTGTTTTTTCTTCAATGCTCAGATCAAACACTTCATGATGGCTTTGGTGTGTTTGAGCAGTTCATAATAAACTACACTCAGCTGATCCCACTAAATGCAGAGCAGAAGCTTCAAACCATGGATATTCAGCTTTGTTGCTGATATTGATGTATGGTTGGGCTTACCCACAATCTTCTACATTTAGGTTTATCATAGTGCATCCACTTTTCATCACCGGTCGTGATATGGTGCAAACAATCTTTCCTTTTCTACCTTTGAAGCAGCTGTTCATATGTAACAAAGCGCTGTTCACCGTCTCTCAGCTTCAACTTAACAAGCACCCAATGTCCTTGCTTTTGAATCTTTCCTAATGCTTTCAAACATTTCAAAACTGTTGTATGATCAACTCCTAATGATTCTGCAAGTTCAGCTTGTGCCTCTCATGAGTTTTCAGGAAGTAATGCCTCCAATTTTTTGTCTTCAAATTATTTTGGTGTGCCGGAGCATTCTTTATCTTCAACATTAAAATCATTATTTTTGAAGCATCTAAACCAATCTCTGCATGTTGTTTCAGACAGAGCATGGTCACCATAAGTCTCAACAAGAATTCTGTGTGCTTCAGCTGCAGAATTCCCTGTGAATACACTTTCTTTGGCACTAAATCCAACATGTTTAATGCTATGAAAAACTTTGGTGAAATGACATAAACTGAATTTTAAGCTTGCTTATAGTACTTCCTTATAGATGTGTTACCATCTGAAATTACATGCACACAGTTCTGGGAACACCGTCTGTTGGAAAACAGTGAGAACTTCAAGATCCTAATATTTTATCATATGTATTTTCTTTTTTTGACCAACATTCAAATTTGATCTTGGACCTTTTGGTGTCTGTTGATTAACTAATTTTTTCTTTTTTTGAAGGCAGCCATTACTTGTATTTGAATACAATGATTAAGCATATGTTGTATTTTAGTCTAGTCTATGTAGATTATGGACAGTCAAAATTGATGCTCATCCAGTGTCTAAAAAATATTTTAAAACTTGGTCCACAGGTGGAACAATAGACATGAAAATGATAATTATCTTGATTTTAGAAGTCAATGTAAACCTTGTCATTGAATTAGAAAAATGGTGACAGTTTTTGGTGCCAAAAATAGTATATGCTTATTTATATAGAATGACAATTTGCAAGAAGCAATTTAATGTTATTCTCATGCACACACTCAGGTTCTGAGAATGCATGAAACAGAATCTTAACTAATGACCACCAGAAACATTGAAACACATAACCAATTCTCATATTCAAACAATTGTTTAACAATGAATATGGCAGGAAAATAAATACGAGGGTGTATAATAACAGAAAAATTAAGTGAATATATATTATTAGCCTTACTGGATGAACTAGGGAGTTTCGCCTCATGAAATTAGCCTTACTGGTTAAAGTAGGAAGTTTGGCCTCACACCATTAGCCTTACTGGGTGAACTAGGAACTTTGGCTTCATACCATTAGCTTTACTGGCTAAATTGTCAAGTTTGGCCTCATACTATCAGACGTATTGTATGAACTATGAAATTAGGCCTCACGTCATTAGACTTACCAGATGAACGATGTACTTAGGCCTCACACCATTAACCTTACCAGATAAACTATGCAATTAGGCCTCATGCCATTAGCGATACCAGATGAACTATGAAATTAGGCCTCATGCCATTAACCTTAACAGATGAACTATAAAATTAGGCCTCACAACATTAGCCTTACTAGATGAACTATGAAATTAGGCCTCATGCCATTAACCTTACCAGAGGAACTATGAAATTAGGCCTCACTTCATTAGCCTTACCAGATGAACTATGTAATTAGGCCTCTCTCCATTAGCCTTACCAGATGAACTATATAATTAGACCTCACAACATCACATCATTAGCTTGTTGCAGAATTTCTTTTACATATTTTAATAGAACATTATATTTTAAAATTTAATATTGACAAATTCTGACATAAAATAAAAATTTGATTGATTCATTTTCTATGCCTTATTAACCTTTTGCACATTATTTAAAGCTAGAAAATATTTTTAGAATGTAAGAATCTTCTGTTTTGGAGATAATGATGTAGTGATATAAGTTTTATTATCTAATATTTAATATTTTTAATATTTACATATTAATACTAATATAGAATCAGAAAAGATAAATTTTGAAGATTTTTCTTTGGTGAACAGATTGAGGGCGATATCTATCACTTTGGCTTCTTCACTAAGGGATGTTTGTGTAAGTACCACCCTCCCATGGTCAACCTGACAAAAATGGCTCCAACATCCACCATAAATTGGTTCTTAGATTATTATCTATTTGAATCTTTTATACAATGTATATTCAGCAAGAAGTTCCACTCAGATTATGAGGATATTGTTGCAGAGGTGGATAGTTCAACCCAGTCTTTTGATACTACAGTCTTCAAAGACAATATCTATGGATCTCTGCATGGATGAAACAAATGAATCAAGATTGTTGGTTGGTTCATTTTCTATGGCTTATTAACCTTTTGCACATTATTTAAGAAAGCAAAATTTGATCTGGAAGTGGAAAGAAAACAAATTATGATCTGGAAGCAGAAAGAAAGCAAACTATGATCTGGAGGTAGAAAGAAAACAAATTATAGTCTGGAAGCAGAAAGAAAGCAAACTATGATCTGGAAGTGGAAAGAAAGCAAACTATGATCTGGAAGTGGAAATGAAACAAATTATGATCTGGAAGTCGAAAGAAAGCAAACTATGATCTGGAGGTGGAAAGAAAACAAATTATGATCTGGAAGCAGAAAGATAGCAAACTATGATCTGGAGGTGGAAAGAAAACAAATTATGGTCTGGAAGCAGAAAGAAAGTAAACTATGATCTGGAGGTGGAAAGAAAACAAATTATAGTCTGAAAGCCGAAAGAAAGCAAACTATGATCTGGAAGTGGAAAGAAAGCAAACTATGATCTGGAAGTGTAAAGAAAACAAATTATGATCTGGAAGCAAAACAAATGTATCAAAATTGTTGGTTGTTTCATTTTCTATGGCTTATTAACCATTTGTGCATTATTTAAAGCCAGAAAATATTTTTAGATTGTAAGAATCTTATTTTGTTTTCGAGATAACAATTTAGTGATACAACTTTTACTATTTAACCCATAGCTTGGGAAAGAAATGGTAGATTCAAACATTTTCTAAATGGTATTTGTGCATGTGAATATAACTCAATTGAAATTGGAACCTGACTCTCCGATTAATAATTCTGTACCTTTATCCATTACACCACCTGTACATCAAATTTACACCACCTGATATTCCCAAGTGGTCACTCATCTAGGTACTGATCAGACTTAGCATTGCTTAACTGTGGTAATTGAATGAGAAATGGCGTTTCACTGTCATATGGCCTGTAAGAAATTGAAATTCAATTACATTGCAAATATTTCAAGACATCTTTTGTAACCTGTCAATTTCAAAGTGACAAATGTGGCTCTACAGCAGGATGCTGAGAATATCATTTTTGTAAGAAAGAAAAAAAATCATGATTCGTTGATGTTTGGATTAGCATACTTTTCAAAAAATATTTTTCAAGCTATGTGCTTAAAAATTGAAATATCACAGTTTTCAAAATTCACTAAAAAATGCAGATAAATCTTCAAACATATTTTTACTGCATCAAATTAAATTATTCCAAGTAAAATCATGAATAATTCATGGCCAGAGACTTTGAGAATATTAAGCTTTTTGATTGAACTTTTGCATACATTTCAGTACATGATTTTATGAGTTCACTGGACATTCAACAAACAACATTTTTAAGATTTAATGACTACATGAGACCTTAATTAAACTCTTCTCTTTAGATTCAATGTATTTTTTTTCTTCTCCTCCATTAGAAATTGTTTTCTAAGTTCCAAATCCACTGAATGCATCAATCTAATAGAGGAATGATATCAGCCTACACTTACATGTCTTGCAAGGACTCCAATATGGAACCATTTTGAACAACATCAAGATTATAAAGAGGAAATAAGGAAGCACTAATCTATTTAATCTCTTCCTAGACTAAGCTACAAGCACAGATGTAAAGAGATGGTCACTGATTATTTAAGCATTCTTTACTATATGCCAAAATTAGAAGAGCAAAATCCTGAGTCAAATATACTGATGATAAGTTTCGGGGGGGGGGGGGGTTAGGTTATGCTAACAATATGGGTATTCATAGTTAGGATAAGAATGATTGTAAGCAGAAAATCTAGATTCCAAATCTCTCAAGAAATAGGACTAAAGACAAACATTTCCAAGATGGAGACTATGATCTGGAAGTGAAAGGAAAGTAAACAATGATTTAGAAATGAAAAGAAAGCAAACAATGATCTGGAAGAGGAAAGAAAGCAAATTATGATCTGGAAGGGGGAAGAAAGCAAATTCTGATCTGGAAGCAGAAAAAAAGCAAACTATGATCTGGAAGTGGAAAGAAAGCAAATTATTATCTGGAAGTAGAAACAAAGCAAGCCATGATCTGGAAGTGGAAATGAAACAAATTATGATCTGGTAGTTGAAAGAAAGCAAACTATGATCTGGAAGCAGAAAGAAAGCAAACTATGATCTGGAAGTGGAAAGAAAGCAAATTATGATCTGGAAGCAGAAAGACAGCAAAGTATGATCTGGAAGTGGAAAGAAAGAAAATTATGGTCTGGAAGCAGAAAGAAAGCAAACTATAATCTGGAAGTTGAAATAAAACAAATTATCATCTGGAAGCAGAAAGAAAGCAAACTATGATCTTGACGTTGACATAAAACAAATTATCAGCTGGAAGCAGAAAGAAAGCAAACTATGATCTGGAAGTGGCAAGAAAGCAAATTATGATCTGGAAGCTGAGACAAAGCAAACTATGATCTAGAAGCTGAAAGAGAGCAAATTATGATCTGGCTGCAGAAAGAAAGCAAACTATGATCTGGTAGCTGAAAGAAAATTATGTTCTGGGAGCAGAAAGAAAGCAAACTATGATCTGGAAGTGGAAAGAAAGAAAATTATGATCTGGAATCTGAAAGAAAGCAAACTATGATCTGGAAGCCAAAACAAAGCAAACTATGATCTGGAAGCTGAAAGAAAGCAGATTATGATCTGGAAATGGAAAGAAAACAAACTATGATCTTGAAGCAAAAAGAAAGCAAACTATGATCCCAAAGTGAAAAGAACACAAATGATGATCTGGTAGCTGAAAGAAATGAAACTTTGATTTGGAAGTGGAAAGAAAGCAAATTATGATCTGGAAGCTGAAAGACAGTAAACTATGATCTGGAAGTGGAAAGAAAGCAAACTATGATCTGGAAGCAGAAGGAAATCAGTAATGGTAACCATCATAAAAATTCAGAATATTGAATTAGGAAAAATTTCAAATGCCTTTGTGTATGGATCAGTTATTGAAACAGACTGTTCTGGCGATAGATTATTTATGTTATATATGTATGACAACAAGATAAAAGGGAAGTTATATCAACAGCCAACATATTTGGGGAGAAAGCAGGAAGCATTGCATCCTGGAAACAAAAGGCTTGAAAATTCAAAGTAAAACATGAAGACACATACCACTCAGTTCAGTCAATATAAATTATTAATTTGTATTTCAAGGATTTAATCTTGTCTTTCATTACTGATATACCATTACAAAGTGAACAGTAAACCTTGTGATTCCTTCTCTCGGCTTTAATCACAGAGCTAACATTTCATTTCCTTTTTTTTAAATAAAGAAAAGGATGCTGTCAAACAAAATGAAGCCCACCAAACTTTTCATTTGCTTTCTTTAGGAAACAAGAAAAGGATGTTGTCAATAAACAAAATGAGTCAAAGTTTTTTCCCTTCTTTGTCAAATTCTAACTTCTTTATAAGCAATTTCATACAAAACAAACACAGTCATTTTTTATTTTTTGTAAAATTACTCTGAAAATTTTACATAAAAATGTTTTCAAAAACGAATGTAATGGCAAATTGGTACTCTTTAAGTAAATAGGTAAGGATGGATTTAACGTTGGTTTCAATGTTACAAGAAAAGAAAAAATGAATTTCACAAAAATATAAATGCAGGAAAGATAAATTTAAGTATCAATGAAAAATTATTGTTTTGGTTAGAAGGAAGATAAGTTTTGGGGAAAGAATTGTGTCAGGAATTAAAAGATTTCTCTCTTCAATTTATACAAGAAAAATTTCAAGTAGCAAGGAAAAAACATTCTTTAAGAAAATATTATCTTGGATTTTGTAAGATCCTCATTAAAGAAAATTTGTTTTTCTTCACACAACTACCAATATTTTGGCGCCAAAAGACAACTACTGATACATTGGTGCCAAAAGCAAAAAGTACTTATTGTTTTGATTTGGTTTGACATTTTTTTTTTTTGCAGTGAAACTTATTTTGATTTCATGTAAAGAAACTTTTGCCAAATGTTTTAGAGACAATTTATTTGTTATTGTTAAAATTCCTACAGTCTTTAAAGTGATATACTGGAATTGGAAGATGGAAGGTTGGAATAAAAGAGTAGGTGTATTGTATGCATAATTGAACATCCTCAAAAACAAACCCAAGTCATGTGTGCCATTTTCCAAAGAAAACATGCAAAATCCAGCCAGAAAAAGAATACAACACAAGAAATGCTTACCCAAGTAAACAACATTCCATATGTTGGCCTGTCCAAAAGAAAAATAATGTGTATGGCCTGCATAAACTCCTGTTGTCAGCATGTGTCACAAAGGATATGTAAATTCTGAATGAGAATTGTGTGGCACTATGAAAGTTAGGTTCTATAAAACAGGTAACTTGATTGAAGTCGGTGAGTTTGTCTACAAGTTGTTAAGTTGCATAGAAGATGTGTCCTAGAGATGTGTGACTGCTGGATTGAATTTTCTGCCACTACATGAAATTCTGCTACTGTAGGTTAAAAAATTCATTAAAAATTATTAGTTTCCAGAAGGAAAAAGAAGGAAGAGGAAGTGTGAATAAACAGATCAGTGAAAAATAAAATAACTAGACTCTGCAATAAGTGCTTTGCTGCTTCTTATTTTATTAGAAATCCTCTTCTATACTTCCACTTTTTAAGAACACAGGTGAACCATCTGATCCTTCTATCAGCCTATTAGCCTTCTACCACATTTTGGCTCGAATTAACTTTGAATTGTTTAAGCATCTGACACCACAGAGTCTTCTTTCAGATAAGCAATATGGCTTCTGCTTCTCTAGGTCAACTACTTATGTATTAACAATTATTGCTGAAAGAGTATCAAGCTTTAGATAAAAATGATGAAACTCGGGCTGTTGCTTTAGCTATCTCAAAGGCATTTGACAGTGCTTGGCATAATGGTCTTCATCATCAGTTTAAAGGTTATGTTATTTCTTGACAAATTTTTGAACTGATCCAGACTTTCTTATCAAATCATAAAATGAAAGTTGTCTTGAATGGCCACTCTTCTTGATCCTTTATCATTAATGCAAGCATCTCTCAACACTCTATCCTTTGACCTATATTGTTCCTAATTTTCATCTGTATCCTTCCTGATGGCATCAATTCTCAACTCAGTATCTATGCTGAGGATACAACTATTTACTCCTATCTTTATAGTTAGTTGGATTGGTTCAATATGGTCAAATTGGCAGCTGATTTTAAAAAATGACCTAGATACTGTTAACTGGGACAAGGAATAGCTTGTTTCTTTTTAATACCTCCAAAATGAAACTGCTTACTATTAAACATCTCAAAGAATAATTTCTGCCTTCCATGGCTAATGCTAACCTTCAGGAGAGTGACTCATTACATCTCCTCGGGGCTAACATTTTCTGCTGACATGCAGTGGAAAGATTATATCGAATCAATTGGTAAGTCTGCTTCTAGAAAAATTGATGCTCTGTGTCATGCTAGACAATTTTCCTTACCAGAATATGTCTTAAATATTTACAAGTCCACCATTTATCCATGCTCAGGATATTTCTGTCACATATGGTCTAGTGCTCCTGCTTTATATTTAGAGAGATTCTTAATAAAATCCAGAGAGTAATCTGCAATGTTATTGATCCTGATCTGGCATCACGGCTTCAGCCACTTTCACACTGCCACATTATAGTTTCCCTGCACCTTTTCTATAAATATTTTTATGGTAAATATTCTGATGAACTCTCCTGTACAGTACGTAGACTTTATGAATTCAAGTGCAGCACAAGATTGACAGCAAGATCCCATCATTTTACAATGGAAATGACTAGATGTAACCATAAGTTTTATGCTGACAGTCTTTCTCACACTTTCAGCTTGTGGAACTCTATTGGCTTTTTGCTTTCTAGTCAAGTTTAATGTTCAAAAATTTAAATGCAATGTCATTCACTATCTTCTGTTTTGTTAATTCTTATTTATTTATTGTTCTTGATGCTTAATAATGTTTTTCTCTTTCTTATATTCTTTCACATTAGTGGCTTTATTGCCTTGCTTGGGGTGAAATAATTAAAAAAATGTGTTTAGGGAAAGAAATAAAAGCAGGTAAGTTGAAAAAAAAACATGAGAGTATATATTTTTTATTTTTATTATTTCACTATTATGGTTGCATATTGTTTATCATTAAATTATTCTAAACTTTTTATAACTAAAGCCTTACTGATTTAATAACTGCTCTGTGCGAATAGAGATTTCATTAAAAATGACAAACAAATTTGATTCAAGCAACAATGAAAAACAGGGTTTCCAGTTTAGGATTGGGTTTCCAGTTGCTTCTAAAATCTTCTCATTCTCTTTCACTTTAATTAATCACTTGTGTCTTTGTGGAATTATTGCCTTGTTTGGGGTGAATTAATTAAAAAAACATAAAAAACAACAGTGGGTAGGTTGAAGAGGAAAAAATATCAAAATTTGAATAGCTGGGCTGTCCTCTTTATTTGGAACATGGAAGCATGTTCTTTTTTTTTTTTTGTTTTTTTAGTTCAATAATATGGTTATATATTGTTGGTGTTGAAGGATTGCAAACTTCTTTTATATGTAGAATATTATTGATTTAATAACTGTTGCTTCTCAATAGAAATTTCACTAAAGATCGCAAACAAATTTGATTCAAGTAACAATGAATAACAAGTTTAATAAGAACAGAATAAATAATTGGATATTGTGATACAGTGTTTTTGCATTCAACTGAAATGTGTAAAGTAACTGAGCATTGCCTGGACATGGCTTCCCACAGCTTAATTTTTAGAGCAAATTGGCTGAAGAAGTATTTCCCTGATGGAAAAAAAAGAATACATGTTTGATTCCTGTCAAGCATCATATTTTTTGTTATTGAGGACTCCTTGATTTCTAGTCCAAGTGATATTAATTTTAAAAATAACAGTAATATCAACTCAGATATGTATATGCAACTAAAAGTATCATCTGGTTAAATCCATTAAAAATACTTTGTTTCAGGCATGTAAATACAGCTAACAAATATAGACTTAAAAATGTCCTATTGAGAGATGTGAATTCCTTGAGTGGGCAATTGAGCTTTTCCTTATGGATTCCTGTGGCTTAATTGGCAGGGTACACATTTCTTACTTTTTTTTAATCATTTCACCCTAGGCAAGGCAATAAAGCCACTAAGATACAAGGGATTACTGAGTGTTAGAGAATATAAGAGAAAAAAAACATATTAAAGAGAATTAAGACAGAAAATATATAATGACTGGAAATGCATTTAAAAGTTGGAAAAATCAAAGTTGGCTGGAAAGGAAGAAACCAGAAGAAAGTTCGACAAACATTTGGTTAACTTTTGTTAATGTATAAAACATTAGGTATAAATTATTCAACAGTTGATAGCTAATTTATTAATACTGAGACAAAATGATGTGAAAAAGGAAAGAAAAATTTACAATCCTTTTTGCACATCTAACAAGTATCAGTCAGTTAAGTGCCATACACGTTACACACTTTGGCGATCATGTACCTTCCAATACATGACTGATGAGGCAGATTTTTTCCTGCAGTAGGTTGCCATTTCTATCTGTGGTAGACTGGTTATCAACCAAGGCTAAAGAACCCAGTCTGTCCTGTTATTCAACCCATATTTGGGGGGGAAAAGAGATGGATTCATAACTTTCCCAAGTGTATTTCTGTGTAGGTGAATTTAACAAACTTGACTGGAATTTGAACTCGACTCTCTGTGTTCCCACTCCAAGCCAATATCAATTATACCATGATGCACATCTTCATGACAAGAGTCACTTATCTCAAAATAGTGATTTTGGGAGGCTTTCATCTTCAGTGGATTTAGATGGAGTGTTTCAAAAAGAGACAGTCTTGTTGCTTAAGAACTGGAAATAGACTTGTGACAATGTATTCATAGAAAAAGTCATTAATTAAGATATGAAAGGCTGTAAGAAGCAAAGTTAATTTACTTGAACTTCCTGTCTTTTTGTTGTTTCTATGTAACTTTTGAACTATTACAAAAACCTACTGAACGCTCCTTTGTGGCCGATTGGTAAGGCACGTCAGTGTAAATGACAGTTCCGTATAGGATGCAGGTTCGAATCCTGTCAAAGGACGAATATTTTCTATGAAAATTTCTCGGACATTCAGGCCAGTAAATGTTATTTAATACTGTTTATTATAAACAGAGCATTTACTTAAATACTTGTATCTATAAAAAAAAAAAAAAGAACGTTAAACATAAAAATGTCTTTAATAATATATATATATAATTTTTTAATGAAAAACAGACCACTTTAAGGTACCATCACAATAATTTATTTCACCAAAATCCTTTTTAAAGGATTTCGGATCATCATTTATTGTAATGGTACCTTAAAGTGGTCTGTTTTTCATTAAATATTTAGCTCTGTTCTTCACATTGAGCTCTCAGGATTTCATCCTCCTTGGATTTACCAATTCAGTTTACCAAGTTCTTCATAACTTAAATATATATATATATATATATATATATATATATATTACAGCTATTTAAACAGAAATCCAAGAGCTCAATTCGTTTGTGTTTCAGCTCAAATTTTAAGATAAAAAAGACAGCAAAAAACACACATACTTTCAGTGAAAATATAAAATAAAAATAAAATAAAAAAATAAAATAAAAATTAAAAATTAAAGCAAAAAATACAGAAAGGTAGATTGAGTCAATTTGGGTGAATTGGCACTTGACTCAATTTGTTGGTCTTTTATCTTCCTCGTCTTTTTGATGTTTTGCTAATTTATTTAAAATCCATTATATTGCTGAAATTAAATTCGATTTTATAGAAGATTTGTTTCCAATCATTTAGATTTTTTTCAAATTTATTTCAAATTTATTCGTTCATTGACTTTAGATCAAATTTTAAAAAGGTGGGCGTTTTATAGAGGTTAATCTAACCCCTTTTCAAGTATCAACATGGTTCCTAAACTCCATTTTCCAGAGACACTGGCAAAAGGATTTTTTTTTATTAAACCAGTCAATGTAGCTAATGTATTTAAAACTATTTTTTTTTTTTTGGTTATGCCGTTTCAATATTTATCGTTTTAAATTTTTCTCCTCTAACTAGAAGCAAAAAGGAACCTTTATCATGATATTTTCACCCTCAAGTTAATTTTTTTTTCATCTTGATATTTTTGCACGAGTAAATTTAGGATTTTGGGCATTTTTCTTTATATTTTTGTAATTTTTATGAATATATCTCTTGACATGTATATTTTCCCTTGACTTTCATCAATGTAGACATTTTCCTGTGATTTACATCCATGTTG